TCTATATTACGGACCGTGGCTCACTGGGTTGGTAACATTATTGAAAGTAACACGATATTTTGGCTGTAAGAGTAAATACTATTTAAGCAGCTACTGTCATGACAGAAAGGTCATATTCCTTTTAAATCCTTTATAAGATACGTTGATTAACAATGCATGTAAATGTCAATATTTACGTAACAGCCAATTTACAGTATGTTTTTCGCTTAGGATATGCCACATTGCTATTTCATTTACATTATTTGTTGCCAATGAAGCTACACGACCATATAAACAAGGAGGCCCCTAACCGTCGATTTCGACGGGTTTCACCTAGTATAAAATAAACCCTGATGACTCCGCTCAATGTTGTGGATGCCCCTGCGAATGCTACCTAGTTTATTTAATACTAGAGAACCCGCGCGGCTCAATGAGCCGCATAGTATGAAACATAGCGCCGAACAAAGCGTTAAGCTCATATTCGAGTAATTTTAGTTATTTCTTAGAGTTACAATTGTTAGAAACTAATTATAAATATCTGTATTTGCGTCGTCAAGGTTCGCCTACATTATTTCTGCTCTCAGTTTTATACTGATAACTTCTAATAAATGCTAAACGATCTGCTTCAGTTCGAGTTAACATGTCGCAACAAAGTTATCACAGCATTGAGAATAAAAATTTTAAAAAAGTGTTGCCTCACTGATAACCTGTGTTAAGTAATTTAAGTTGGGCCATTTTATTTCTTTGAATTGAGGCATCCCCTTGATCAAACGAATTTTCTCCGTAGAGAATCCTGAAAAGTGGGGTGATGGTGATATCAACCCTGTCATGTGCTCAATTTTTTACCCACAAACTCTGGGTTACCAACTGGACAGCCATAATTTGCTTTGAATAGGCTAAAGTAACAACACCATTGAAAGTTGCTTAAACGACCCATTTGCGTTTTTTTTTTTTCAATTGAGGTAGAGTGAGTAATTCTAAAGTTTACAATAAAGACATAAGGTCCACCAAGATTTGGTATAATCTAACTTGAATTTATCACAGTCAAGTCATTATTATGGTTTCGTAAATGTTTGAAATATCTCGATCTGTTAGTGTCAGAAGTAAAACATTTCTTGTATGCATTAATTTGATCTGACATTAAGCAAGTTAACTTTACCACCAAGACAACACTATGTGCTTCGTATGTTTTTCACTTCTAAAGTAAGTTGCATAGCAGAACTGGCATATATCTTACCAAGTAAATGTGTATCTGGATGAGTATCTGTTAGAGCAGGCCTATTCTACTCTCCTCATACAGATAAGATATTTTATTATTAATTGTCTCCTCCTACCGTTATAAATATTTCTTATTTGAACTTGAGACATTTCTGTTCTTCCAACAAAACTGACTAACCTTTTACTAACCTTTTAACTTCGTCTTAATCTACTGAATATTACAATAGCTATTTACATTACAAGTGTAGTAAGAGCGTTTTTACATCACGCAGGTGAATGTCTCTGTCTTAATCTGATATAGAAGCTTGAAATATATTTTACCTAACCCGCCATGTTAAACTTCCCTATCCCAAGCGTGATGTATATAGCTTCGTTACTTCTCGAGTGATGTAAAGTTGAAAAAAACTCACTCGGCGATGTAATGAAACCCATTTATAGCTATTTACATTACAAGTGTAGTAAGAGCGTTTTTACATCACGCAGGTGAATGTTGTGCAACGAGCGAATGCGAGTTGCATAATTCACCTAAGTGATGTAAACACGCTCTTGCGTAACGTGTAACGTACAAGATTTTACCTGACCCGAAAATATACAGGGGGTTACGTTCAATATTTTGTATTATCCATTTCACTCATCTTCTAACAGTAAGGTTCTTTTACAAACAAAAGCTAGGTTAGGAAAATTCTTAAATCAACACAATAAAATTCAAGCACACAGCTGATTTCTAGCGTTGAACGTCGAGGTATATTTTTTATCTAACCCGCCATGTTAAACTTCCCTATCCCAAGCGTGATGTATACAACTCCTTCACGAGTGATGTAAAGTTGAAAAACATATAAAACATATTTTATATGAAAAACATATTTCAGGTTAGTTGGAGCGGAACCCGAAAGGATTTTTGAGGTAAGAATATTTCTATACGTTAATCGAGGATGTGAGCTATCATCCTGCCAAATTTCAGCCTGATCCGACAAGTAGTTAGTTAGCAGTTAGTCCGACAAGTTAGTGCGTGATTGAGCTTCAAACGAACAAACAAACACACTAACTTTCACATTTATAATATTTAGTATGATTAAAGAAAAGAATAGTATTCATATTTAAAAGGAATTACAGAATTTAGTTAGCTGTTTCAACTAAACTGGTTGGTTCTATTATATTCAATACCATTAAAAATTGAAAGATTTACCAACAGAGTGCAGCACTATTATTATTTATTTTTTTTATTTTATGACAACAGTTAATCTATATAATTAATACGCTACATGAAACTTTGTCGGTTGAACTCCTCCGCCATTTCTTAACCAATGTTATCCATTGACGTCTCATTGGAAAGAGCGTGTCGTGTAGATTTGCAAACTGGCCTTACATTTTTGCAAAAGTCTCTTGGTCTCTGCCCCAGTGGCTTTGAAAGTTCCTATGTTATCCTTATGAAGAACATAATTATTTACGTTTTGATCAGCTGTATACTTTAATCGCTGTAATTTATTTTTCAATTCAATGAAACGCATTGAGTACATTTATTTACTATTAGAGTTTGTGTAAACATAACCCCCAAGACGGATCGTGATAGTATGGTTGTATCTTAAATTTGTGTATTTATCGTTGTTTTGTGTCGCTATGACGGATCATGTTAGCATGATTGTAACTTAAATTTGGGCATTTATCGTTGTTTTGTGTGGCTATAATTTGTTTATTTGTTGTTTTTTTTCTTTTAAATGCCTCCGACGCGACGACAACGAAACATAGACAGGAGGCGTAATCGTGATAACGACCGCAGCTACAGAACAGTAGCGCGTAATAGGCGCCACCACTGCCACTCATCACAGTCAGCACCTGACCCTGGACAATTTTAACTACTAAAAAAAGGTTACAAGTGCGCCCTCTATCAATGACCTAGCTGTGTTGCCTGTACAGCGAGGCATTTAGAGAAGGAGAAAACCGGCCGGAATGCTTTAGGGTTATTAATAACGAAGATAAACATGGACAAGTCAGGAAATGTTTGTAGAAATCATTAAAAAGTAATATCAGGTTATGAAATATGATACAATATTTACAGGAAATGTTGATTACTGTTTTATACATCGTGAGTATCTCCATGAGTTACACACCGGTAATCTTTGAGTTGACTCTTTTAAACTCATTGTAAATATGACTGCTATTCATTTTGAAATAACTCCTCTAATACTTTGCAATTGCTCGAATTCGAGCAACATGTACACTAGTTTGAATTAAGCAGCAACAAAAAGCTGTGATACACAATGAAAATTGCAAAGTAGTATTGTTTACATTTACGTATGCATTTTTCTTTTAATTAATAATTTGCGGTATTGTGCGAATGTTTGAAAATTTACTTTCTTCTATTATTTAGGTACAGTGGTAGAACATTATGTCTATTTTAGATTTGTTATAATAAACGCAAAGCATGAGTATAACTGCAATATGCATTGTATTCGTATACGCCAGCCCCGTACGAAGGACGGGTACTCTGCAGGTTTGTTCATATATGTAATTTTAGTTAAAAGTGATGATACTATCGGAGTGACGGTTTGAGGCGGTGTCAAGTAGTCGGCTGCATCGACGCTAAACCGCCACCTCTCACGCTCGCGTCTAGGTGTCACCCAGACAAGGTGTCACCTCCTCTCTTTGGAGGTGACGACTAGACGCCTTCGTACATGACAACCTGTCACCTCGCACGCTTGCGCCTAGTTGTCACTCCGACTACCTGTCACCTCATTCAAACGGTGACGGGTAGTCGGGAACGATGCGCGACAACGTGTCACCTCAAAACCTGTCTTAAAAGGTGACGGTTGGTCGGGGTGACTGGTTGTCGAGGTGACACGTAGTCGCTGTCCCTTGCCAATCTGCCGTTTCTCACATTTCTGGTTCATTCATAGTTTGCACAATCCTGCCATATTTGGTCTATGTATTTGATGTCCTAGTTGGACAGTTTAAAATCACATGTTCTCAAATCCAGAAATGAAATTATTTATTAAATTATGCCATATCACAACAAAAGTTGGGTTGTGGTAGAAATTCTGATTGTTTTGAAAATTATTTTTTAAACTGATTTGAAAAGCCAATTAGTAAATTAAGAAAAATGATTATCTATGATATAGGATTAATTTTATGTTTATATGTAAAGGTCTATTTCTGCAGCCTTAACTAAAATTATTGTATTTTTTTCTATTTCATATTTTTTAATGTTTTCTTAACAGTTAAAATATAAATTCATTGAGAGTATTTGGTTGTGTAAATGTGATTAGGGGAAACATAGCATTGTCCACGGCTGAAGGCTAGGAAATTATACAGGTTACATGGATAGACTCCTATTAACATCATAAAGGTACATTATAATAAATAATCAAACAAAATCTACTCAGAAGTCGATTGACCCTGTTGCACTGAGCATAATAAGAAGTGTTGTACTTCGCAAATCTACTGCAATATTTCCCTATTGCAATCACTAGTCTACTGGCCAGTTGTAACAAAAGGATTTGGGGAGACTGGTAACCTTAATAATAACTATTTGATTCAATTTTCTCGATTCCCGAGACTCTGCATGTTTGTGGGTATTATAGAACAGTGATTTAAAGTGTAGCTAAAGTGTAGGCACAATGTAGCTTTGCAAGACCAGCTTTTTTGCCTGGAACATTTAATAACAGCCCAATAATCAAGGAGATCTGAGCCTAGTTTCAAAATATCTAAATACTACTGACCTTTCTATGGATTGACTTAGCGGTCTTTTGATTACAAAGCGACCTATAACCACTCTCCTACCTAACAAATACAAATAGCCTTTTTACCTGTGACTAACTGCTGCAGAGAGGCAATCTCATCCTGGAACTTGCGTTTCTCTTCATCTAGATCAAGTCGGGCGAGAGTAACTTGAACTCGAGCCTCCTCTAACTCACTCTGTAGCCTCTTGAGTTCACTAGCCAAGCGAGTTTGCTCTGACGTCCCTCGCTTGATCTCGTCTAGACAACCAAACAGCCAAGTGACTAAAATTAAGGCAATTTTGCTGTTTTGGGTTTATTAAACATATTGCATTAACTCCAATGTATTTTTAAATTTGCAAATCTGTTTGGTTAAAGTTATTTTGAATCGAAGTAAATAGATAAAATTGTTGTTTAAAACAACCAAGTATATATATACCAAGTATATAAAACAACCAGGTTATAAAATGAAACTCATAAATTTAAGTGGTAATTAGTACCTTCTTTTTAAACTACTAGTCGCTACATTATTTAAACAAGTTATTTATGAACAATTTATATTTACCACAGACCGAAATCACAAAAAACCTAATATAATGTTATATCCCAACACCCTTAGTCTACGTTCTAATAACAAAGTAATTACTGTGTGTATTCCATGTAAACAATTAATCTAGATCAAACAATAGTTATTTGTGTAACTAGTGTGCGCAGTGACACTTTGCTGCAAAAGAGAAAAATGTCACAGGCGAGTGTGGAAAGTTTCTCGAGTGCAGCAAAAGCACTTTGCGATCGTGTTACAGATTATATTTTTCCTACAGTTACTATAAAGCATAGAAATAATTAGTCTTTCAAACACTAAACAACTTGTTTTAGGTTCGGTTAAATCCAAGCAATGAACGAAATGCGAAACACTGCACCAGCTGATCGTAGTCGTAGTATCTCTAAGTGTTGCCAACTTATTTTCAAGTGTAAATTAGCGTATTACTTGAATAATAAAAGCACAAAGTTTTGTGTTGTTTGGTTGGAATAAGGGAGTGTGGGGAAAAATGAGTGCTGCAACAGTAAAATGAGTGCAGCAAAAGTAAGTAAATGCAGTAATTAGCTACTTTCCGTGATATATTAAGTAAGTACAAAAAAGCCTGCTTTGTCAGGTAACTGTAGGGAAAAGAATTTTCATAATATTCATATTCATAATCTTTATTCATATATATATATATATGTACAACGGTGATACATTGAATAGTGTCAATTAATACTAGTAACAGTAGTAGTATTTTTTTTTTTTTTTTTTTGTCCTAGGACGCTAGGCACTACGAGCATGGGATTGTTTTTCACATTACTTCAGGCTAGACCTAGGGGTTGCGGCATTATCACTTAGATAAAATCCATTGGTGACTTGACGGGGATCGAACCCGGGACCTCAGGGACTGATGTCCCACGCTCTAACCACTACGCCAGCTCGCTCCCAACAGTTGTAGTAGTACCGGTCAGCTTATTAACTAAACTGCTACGGTACCTATGCAAGGAGGTAGAGAACACTTCCATCGAATAAGTAGCTAAATTCAAATTGAAAATATAATTTTTGGGTAGGCCTAGTTTCTTAATTTAATAGAAATTTGATTTTTTATGTTGATTGGGATGAATTTACTAAAATCTTAGATCTGCATTGGAAGGTTTTTTTCATAAAACTTAAGCCTGTGAGGCTCAACAACCCCTAATTTTTCTCTAAGGTTATAGAAATGGCTTAGTGTAAAAGATGTTTCATTAAATAATTCTTGTTTTTATTTTTGGCAATTAATATAACTTAATTAATTATTGAGCTAAACTGTAAGAGTTGCCAAAAGTGCTCTTTGGCTGAATTATCCTTTTTTAATCTGAGCATTATCCTAATAGCTTTAGTTTGCTGTTTTAAAACGTAATCCATATTAATTTTGTTTTTTTTTATTATATGCTACAGTATTCCAAACAGGATATATGAGAATGTAGGCCTACATGAGCAAAATATTACAAAAAAGATGCCTTAATATCTTTGAAATTTTCAGCCAAAATAACTGAGTCGTATGCAAGGACTAAAAAAATTTGTATACTTATACACTTACCTATCAAAATTTATACCTAAACACATATTTATTTTGTTAAATACATAAAAAACTAGTACAACACCTACTCAGCCTAGACAGCCGGCCTAAACTAAAAGAAGTAATAACATCAACACACACGTAGTGGCATTGGAAATTCAAATTTAAACATTTAGCGGTGGGAGACTGATATGGGTGATAGCTGATAGTAACGCAGCATTTATCAGTTAGCATTGTATGCAAGCAGGCTTCCCCCACTGACAGCTACTGTGTTATCAATAGTGATAACAGCTCGGTGGTGAAAGCCTATTGTTTAATTGATGTGTGATGATGCATATAGGCAGACTGCAAATGGAACTTGATGTACTGTGCGTTTCTTTTTGCTTATGTATAACAATTAAACAAGTAGAAGTTATCACATGGTTTTTGTTTAGCTCAAATGTATCTTATGCTGCTTACAACAACTGATTGAAAACCAACTCCTTATCGAGAGCCGAGGTTTCAACCATGGATAAAAGTACAGTAGAACCTCAATTAACCATCATCCTTTTAACCCTCACTCTCTGTTATCTATTTCCCCACTACAGTGCTTAGATTATTTTTAAATGCGATTTTATTTCACTGAACGAACATTAAACAAGTACATCATACAAAATAACATTTCTGTATTGCTCTTCTATTTAAGTAATTTAAATATAAATATGTATTATTCACTTGTACAGGGTTTAATTTCTTCCTTCCAAAACCTTTAAAGTTAACTGTACATGTTTATAATAGGACTAGAGGACCCATGCTGCTCCGCAGCGTTAAACTAAAAATATAATATCCAAGAACTAATCAAATTTATAAGTTTTGATGAGTAATACAGTATCTTGATACTGATTCAAACGATCAATAACTCAATTTAAAGCCTATAAATACAGTACTGATTATTTTGAGTCTAAAACATACATGAACAATACTGAAGCCATTGATTTTTAGTCATAGAAAACCCTTACGAAAAAATGTTTATGTTAGTTTTTCTCCTTGCGTTTGCTTGAAACTCGTCCGATTTGAATAACTAATACAGTAGCTTAAATGAATGCAGGTATTTCACTGATGTTCCTTAGACCAAAATAAGTGGTGAAACACATCTTAAATTGAAGTAAGAATTTGAAAATTAATCAAATTTTTTTTTTTCGGTCAAATTATACAGTAGGTAAATATATGCCAATGCATTTACTTCGATGGCCGATGCTTGATGTGAAATCATTGCGTGTATGCCTTCAATTTAAGACCTGAATCATGAAAATCGGTCGTATAGAAGAGCCAAACGCACTCGGAAAAGAGAAACCAAATTTAACTCCCATAAGAAATACATCGGGAGAAAATATGTATAAGCCGAGTGGGGTTAAAGATAAATATATGCCCATATGCTTGATGGCAAATCTTTGTGTGCATACCTTCAATTTGAGATCTCAATCATGAAAATCGGTCGGGTAGAAGAGCCAAACGAACTCGGCAAAGAGAAACCAAATTTACGTTCTATAAGAAATACATGGGGAGCAAATTTCGTTTACGTATACACCGAGTGGGATTATAGATACATTTATGCCGATGCTTGATGGCAAATCTGTATTTGCATACCTTCAATTCGAGACCTCAATCATGAAAATCGGATATAAACAAACTAAAATAAAAATGGGGTTATTGATCACTGGTTGTCGGTAAATTCCAAAATAATTACATTTTTTATTGTATTGAAAATTCAGCAGCTCGCTTCAGGTACGTCCGATCTTAATAATCAAGGTCTCAAATGAAAGCTGGTATTTCACTGAAGGTTCTTAGACCAAAACATATAGGATTACATTATAACCGAGGAAATATATTTTTCAATTGAAGTAACAATTTTAAAAAAATCTAATTTATGTTTTTTGGTCAAGTAATACTGTAGATAAATGAATGCTGATGCTTGATGGCAAATCTACGCGTGCATACCTTTAATTTAAGACCAAAATTATGAAAATCGGTCGGGTAGAAGAGCCGAACGGACTCGGGAAAGAAAAACCAAATTTATCTCCCAAAAGAAATGTACAGGGAGCAAATTACGTTTGTGCATAACTCGAGTAATACGTCAGATAAATAAATGCCGATGCTTGATGGCAAATCTACGCGTGCATACCTTTAATTTAAGACCAAAATCATGAAACTCGGTCGGGTAGAAGAGGCGGACGGACTCGGAAAAGAAAAACTGATATTTTTTAATATATAGATTTCTTTTATTCGTCTATTCGTTTTTGTTCGTCTTTCGTTCGTCAGCTCCAGGTCCTGAGGGTGAAGGCTAATAGAGGTTCTACTATTTATTAATTAAGTATTTATTAATTTAGGATATTCATCTACCGTATCTATTATTCATTAATTGAGTTTCATTTTATTAATATGTACGAGATGTGATAAATTTGTTTTCCTGATGTCTGTTTTAATTGCTAGTCCCTAACTTGTAGGTATGTATTTTTTCTTTTATTAGCTAGTCGGAAACTACACTAGTTTATATGTTTATCCCTGGCTAGGACAAATAAGACACAGTGCCAAGCAATCTGTCATTATAAATTAAAACTTGTATATAAAATGTTAAATAAAAAAGTATTTTGATGCATAACGCCTAGTTAAAGTCTTTTTTTGAATCCAAATACATTTTCAATAAATTTTTCAATCAATCATTCCAAATTCAAGTTTTAATCAAAAATTATTTTTTAGTTCAATTCATCATTTGAATGGATTTCTTTGAAAAGCAAATACAATAATAAACAATGCTATTTTTACTTGGTTAAAGAGTTTGTTAATGGCAGTTTTGCCAGACCATAAATGCTAAGGATATTTTATTATAATATTGACCGATTAAGACAGTATGGACAGTGTTTAAGTAAGATTAAAGTGGACTATGTGACATGCTCTCAAGTAGACGTATTGGTCAGTGCCAATGATTGTGTACAGAACAGCAGCATTAGAACCTATTGCTTTACAAACTGTTATTTATGTTTGTAGAAAGTAATTAAAATGGAAGAAATCCAGCCAAAGCAATTGAAAAAGTTGATATATTCAATGTCTCATAAGATCTAGGTTTACTTCACTGATTCTAATAGCTCAATTTAAGTTTTCCACGGTCATTAGCTACTATTACTTTTTCTCCCAGATAATAAAAGTCCAATAAATAGTAGGTTCTCCATTATGGTGACAGTATGAAATATTCTAACTAAGTAGAAGCTACCGCTACAAAACAAGCTCAATAGAAAAATTCTAATGCTGAAATTTTATTAGACCACTCATTCTTTGATGTCACAATGACAAACGATATTTTTTTTTAGTATTAACACTTTAAACATATGTAGGACTATTATAATTTGTAAAGGGCCTATCTAACAGAATAACTAGCTTGTGTTGTGGATTGTATAATTAATTGTTATTGGTACTATTCTATTATAAGTTAATAGAATTTAAAACTAACAACTATAATACAGTCTCTTATGCAATTTTAAATATTTCCCCTTGCCGTAACTAAGTAACTGACACACATGTATTTTTCATAAATAACCTAATGTGCCGATTTTAGATAACTTAGAGTATTTCATGTGAGGACTAACTATGTTGTTTAATGGCTTGTTTCTAAGATCTATGAATAAGCTATGTGTAAAAATTAACAGAACTTCTGGAAAGCAACAACTTGATGGATAAAGAACAACATGGGTTTTAATCCGGCAAGCCTTTGATTAGTGCTAGTGTTTAGTTCATTGAATCAGTAATAGATTCGGTGGATAAGAGAAATAATGTTACTCAGGTCTTTATGGACCTCAGCAAGGCTTTTGATAGTGTGTCACACTCCAAGCTGGTAAATATCTTGTTTTGTCTGGGTATGAAGGGGAGAGCTTTAGATTGGTTTAAATCATATATAAATAACAGACAACAATATGTAGAAATGTGACAAACAACAAAAAGCTAAATTTTACTTCATCTTTGGAAATGTTAAAATATGGAGTGCCACAAGGATCAATCCTGGGACCACTGTTGTTCATATGTTATAACAAAGGGTTTACCAGATAAATTAGATAATGCTGAAGTCTGTCTATATGCTGATGACATTAGCTTACTTGTATCAGGTAATACCCATCAAAAAGTAGAGTCAATAGCAAATAATCAATGTCCATATGTTTAAATACTTTTTTAAACAAATTAAACCTTTTAGTTAATATTTAAAGTAAAGTGCATATCTTTCTTAACATATCAGAGTAAAGCTCAACATACAATTTTTATGGAAGGAAAATGTCTAGAACTTCAACATTTTAAATTCCTAGGGCTGGTATTGGTCAAAAATTTAAATTGGAACCTTCTAATTGAACATCTTGGCGTAAAATTTCATCAGGGATTTTTGCTCTGAGAAAAATGTCTAAACTATGTCGTTTGGAAACATTAAAAATAATTTACTTTGTTTTTATTTTCTCCCACATCTCCTTTGGTACAATCTTATATGGGGCAACCTTCAGTTAAAAAGAACAATTTTCAAAACTTGGTATTCTTACTGTTATTGCCCAATACATCTTTGATTTGATCTTGTTTGTAAAGAATAATTTACCAAAATTTGAATCCTTGGGTTCATGCCACAGCTATGGGACAAGGCACAGACGTAAAATCAGTTTGTCTAATCAAAACTTAAAATCTTTGAAAAAAATCTTCAAAATCTTCATAAATGAATAACACCTCACCTAAAAGCATGTCATTCAGAAACAGGTAGGATTACGTTTTATAACCTTCTATCTGATATTTTACAAATAACAGACAAAAATAAGTTTTAAAAACAACTAAAAACTGTTATGTTATCCAAGCCTGTTTATTCCCTAGATGAATTTGTTGGTTGACTATGTTGTAAATTTGTAAGTTATAAGTTTTTGTTTTTTTATTTAGCCTTTTTATATATGGTTAGTTTTAACAATCTATCTATATATTAATAGGCAAGCATGTTTCTTTAAAACCTTTTTTCTCAGCTCATGTGCATCGCAGGAAAAATCTTCGCATACTGTTAGAAAGATATTTTTCCGTAGGTGTGCAGAATCCCTTTAAAAATTAAAATAGGCTCAGAAATAAGCACAAAAAATTAATTTGAAATTTGAAAAAAATTAACATGGGCTTTATGGGTTTCTATGCTGGTGACGAAATAACAACAAAATATAAACAGAAAATCAAAACAAATTGAAGAAACTCCAATCACATGTTTTATTTACAGTATGGGGTGAAAATAGAGAAGTCTGTACATTACAAATCTTTGGTCGAGTTTCGACCACTGGACGACCTCTAGTATAATTTTATTGTATTGACGCCATTCTGGTGCAACATGTTGTACTCTTGAATAAAGATTATATGACTATGGCAAAATAATGCTAAGTGAAAATCAATTTAAAATATAGCCACACTACTTATTCCAAGTCTAATTGACACACCGACACCAACCCATTTAGTTAAGCTTGCCCAAGCGCAAACAAAACGTAACCAAGAAACCAAACCTGACAAAGCGCACTACCTACCTTCCTTCTGTAGGTAAAGCTCCTTCATCTTAGCTCGCTGTAATCCAAACTCCTCTCTCATCTGTTGTTTCTCACTCTCATGCTGAGATGCCTGCTCCGTCAGCCGTTGTAGTTTGAGGAAAACATCTGCATGAAGCAAAGAGCAAACAGTGCGGCTGCTGCGTAATGACTGCATACTGCGTAATGCGTGCAACCCGCCACAGCACACCCAGCATGCATCGAGTGCAGAATCCATTTGAAATTGTTGTTAAAAAAAATTGTTTGTTGTAGGCCTACAGTATTTTACAGTCAATGAATCACAAAATTAATGATTGATTTCCTCTGGCTCCAACTATCTCCTGAACTGAAACTATCTCTCATGGCTAGCTGAAGAAATCATGCCTTTATAACTTTTAGCCTATAATTGAAATTTTCAACTTGGCCTACATCTTAAAACGTTTAGTAAAATTTGCCTCAGAGAAAATATAGATAAACTTTTAGGGACTTCACAGAAAAATTAACCATTTTATGGTGACAGTGTTTACTGTTGATATTAAAATCAACAGAAACGAAATATAAGTAGCACGTGACTTTCAGAGATGAGAAAATGGTTAACTAAAGATTTTGAGAGTGAGGGGAGGGAGCAATGTTAGGCTACCTCATAGGGATCTCAGAAATTGCAAATAATTAGGCTTACCTATGCTGTTTCTGAATTACATGCTTTTAGGCGAGGTGTTATTCATTTATGAAGATTATTTGTGGGCTTCTTTTCACATTTGTCTGCGATGTCCAGGACTCCTCAAAGCACACATATACAAAACACGTTGATGCCATGTGCGATAGGTGTTTTGTGTAAATGTGTGTTTGAGTGTGTTTTGATAAGCACTGGAAATCGCAGACAAAAATAAATGTGAGTGAAGCCCACAAATAATCTTCATAAATAGGCCTAATTACTTAGAATGACGACACCCAAATTTTATTTTTGTTATTGCCTTTCCTCAATAGCCTACTTAACTTACTCTCTGTTGGAAACTTCTACCAAGTGGCAAAATACAGTGTCAATGAAGAAATAACCATTGACTATCTTCGTCAAGTGCAAGAAAAAAACGCCAATTCAGTGTCAAGTGAAGTGTAAGATTTAACAAAGCAACAAATGGATTCTGCACTTAGTTAAAGGCCTATAAATACACCTAACTTAGATCTTATTTATTTTAAAACATTCATATTCATATAATAGGCTAATATACAATAGCTAAGTTATTTATACACGGTGATATAAATAGCCTACATACATAAGCTACAACTTATAATTTTGAATTAACTTAAGGCCTATCTCTAGGATTATCATCATAATTTATAAAAGATAGAGGTACTTTCCTGTTAAAGGGAACATTCATTTTTATAAATGATTTTTTTTTATATATCAATATTTTGTTCTCCTTTACGGTCCATATTCCTTCTGTTTTAATATTTTCAAATCAAACGCATTTAAATTACACATTGACAACTGATCTTGTTTAGGCAAAATAATATATACTAGTGTACATGTTGCTCGAATACGAGCAATTGCAAAGTATTACAGGGGTTATTTCAAAACCAATAACAGTCATATTTACAATGAGTTTAAAAAGAGTCAACTCAAAAATATTACCATTGTGTAACTCAGACCCTGATTACCTGGTTATCTTCGTTATTGATAAACCTAAAGCATTCCGGCTGGTTTTCTCATTCTCAAAATGCCTCGCTGTACAGGCAACACATGTCATTGATAGAGGGTCAATTGAGAACGAAAAGTCTTTTAGGGGTAGTGTTGGAAGGTATGGGGGTTTAGTGAGTGGGAGAAAAGTTCGCGCCGTTCCGGCCAAACCTCGCATGCGGGGTTGGTTCGGCAGATTGGCCACAACCTAAACCCCAACTCTCACTTGTTAGCTGCGGAGAGCTACCTTCTGCCACTGGGTGTTGGTCCACCTACAGAACCAAGTGAGGGGGGCCCTAGACTAAGGTGTAATGCGATCCGTGCCAAGAGTCTTGTGGCACTGGGGGCTTAATATTCAGTGTCTTAACGGAGCCTTCTGGGAACCAGGGGTAACCCAGTCGTACACATCCCTTACCTCTCTAATCGGGTCACTGGGGAGGTGGACTTAAATACCCGGTATTCGTGAGAACAATGTAGACAGTCTGACCCAAATGGAGGAGGAAGGTCTACTGAAATCTGACGATGACGACAAGCTCGCAGAAACCGGAAAGGAACGAAAAATGACTTTCCAGGGGCGAGTTGCAAAGATGGAGGATAGCGGATGCTTTAGCCAAAGGCGAAAAGGTGCTATCCAGAAGTGAGAGGAGGCTGGTGTGGGCTGCCAAGCACCCTAACTCTGCTGCCTGCAAAGCCAGTTCCTCCGGGAACTAGGATGCTGGGAAAAAGCAGAGCAAGGGTGGTATCCCCAAAGCTGACTCTAATGAAGCCTCCAGGAAGAAAGGTGGAGGCTGTGCTGACGCAGCCACAAAGGATTGGCTGGTCAAGCAAGTTCAGGAGCTGAGACCTTTCAGGGAAATCTCGCTACGGCTTGCCCCAGCCAGAGACCTTGTGAAAGCTGTGAAGGTATATTTATGTGCCCAGCCCTACAAGGTCTGCGTATGAGATCCCTTGGCCTATTGATGGGAGATCAAAGGGAAGAACAGGTCACCATAGTCAAGAGGCTCTCACGGTTCACCAAGGACCTGGGATTTGACGGAGAATGAGGACCTGTGAACGAGGGTGCACAATAAGCTGTTCTAGCTGCGATGCAATCCCATGGTAACTTGTAAGCCTAGAAAAAAAAAAAAAAAAAAAAAGGGGTAGTGTTAGTTCGCATTCGTAACCTAATAGTTGAGATTGTCCAAGGTCAGGTGCTGACGTGTACGCCTCCTGTCTATGTTTCGTTGTCGTCGCGTCGGAGGCATTTAAAAGAAAAAAACAACAAATAAACAAATTATAGCTACACAAAACAACGATAAATACACAAATTTAAGTTACAATCATGCTAACACGATCCGTCATAGCGACACAAAGCAACGATAAATACAAAAATTCAAGATACAACCATACTAACACGGTCCGTTTTCGTTTTGGGGGTTATGTTTACACAAACTCAAATAGTAAATAAATTTACTCAATGTGTTTCATTGAATCGAAAAATAACAGCAATTAAATTATACAGCTGATCAAAACGTAAACAATTATGTTCTTCATAAGGATAACATAGGAACTTTCAAAGCCACTGGGGCAGAACCCAAGGGACCTTGTCAAAAATGTAAGGCCAGTTTGCAAATCTACGCGACACGCTTTTTCCAATGAGATGTCAATGGATAAAATCGGTTAAGAAATGGCAGAGGAGTTCAACCGACAAAGTTTCATGTAGCGTATTAATTATATAGATTAGGCCCTATGGATTAAGAAATGAAACTGTTCTACACTAACCTAACATAACTAACCAAACTTGTTGTAGCCTACCATTTCAAAATTCCATTTGATAACTACCGTACTTAACAGAAAAGGCATGTGGGAAATATCAAGCGGAATTTTTAAATGGCCCCAAGCTTACAGCAAGTTTAGTTGCGTTATGTTAGTTAAATTTAGATCAGTTTCATTTCAAAATTATTTTTTTTATTGTTTGTTGATAGGCCTATATTGAACAATATGTAGGCTACTTATTTATCGTAGTTGTCAGCTGATGTGTTTCAATTCCTTAATATTGAATATCCGATATAGGTAGGGCCTATATCGGATAGATAACTTAGGACTATCGAAAAAAAATTATCGATAAGAGAGAGAGAGAGAGAGAGAGAGAGATACTTTATTACATGAGCGTTAAGCTCAGCAATGGTGTCAAAATTACAATAAAACAATAAACATTTATTTTTAACAAAAGTCAAAGTCTCTTCCACAGAGTGCAATGAACTCGTCGATGGTATAGACAGGGTTCTCGATCATCCAGTGTAGCATCCTCTTCTTAAGGGACATGGAGTTTCCATTCTTAATGGTCGAAGGAAGGAGATTAAAAAGCTTGGCCCCGGCGTATGATGGCTTCCTGGAGTATCTTGAAGTGTCATGTGCAGGTAAGTTGTAGTTTCCAGCATTTCTTGTGTAGTGTGGATGTACATCAGTGTTCCTGAGGAGGTTTTGACTGCTTGCATACACAACTACTTCACATATATATATAGTGGCAACAGTTGGAATCTTGAGTGCCTTGAAGGTGTTCCTGCAGCTTTCTCTCCACTGAAGATCTCCGAGAACTCTAATGGCTTTTTTCCTCCAGGTGAGAACCCGACTCATATTCTCTTTAGATGAATTCCCCCATAGAACAATTCCATATCTTGTATGGGACTCGACCAAAGCGTGGTAGGCCGAACGAGTAGCTTCAGGTGTAGCGACATGGTTGATCCGCCTTAGAGCAAACAGGGAAGAACTGAGTTTGTGACAGAGTAAATCCACATGCATATCCCATCGCAAGTTGTCGTCTAGGATTACGCCAAGGTATTTGGTGAACAGAACTGTTTCAATTTCTGGAGGAGATGACACTTCATTCTTTAGCCTTCCAAAGAAAAGTTGTGTTTTGCTCTCGTTAAAAACAAGATCATTGTTGAAACAGTAATCCCTGGCTCTATTGATTGAAATGAAATTTTCAATCTCCAAAGTTTCGGCAGATGAGTTGCTGGTTAACAGTACTGAGTCGTCTGCAAACATGACAGTATGACTGTGTGCCTCCATGTAGTTCGGAAGATCTGCAGCGAACAATGCGAAAATTATGGGACCCAGTACTGAACCTTGAGGGACTCCTCTGGCAACATTCATCAGCTCTGATCTGAAAGAGACGGTTTTGCCATTTTTCGTGGAACTGATTTCAACGACCTGGCGCCTTCCTTTCAGGTAGGACTGAAACCAGTCCTTAGCCGAGTCTCTAATCCCATAGGCTTCAAGTTTCTTGAGGATAAGCTGGTGGTCGAGGCAATCAAACGCCTTACTCAGGTCTAGAAAAGCTCCACTAACAGTCCTTCCGGTTTCCAGATTGTCAATGATGTACTCGACGATCTCGGTGATTGCCGTTACGGTAGATCTTCCAGGTATAAAGCCATGTTGTCCTTTGGGATGATGCATAAGTCGTGCCAGGACAATTTTTTCTAAAACCTTAGAGATTGTCGAGACAAGCGATATTGGTCTATAATTGCTTATATCTTCCTTGCAGCCTTTTTTGTGAAGGGGATATAGGCTTTTGCTATTTTCAGCTCGGGTGGAACAGTGGACTGAAATAAGGATTTGTTAATTATGAATGTGAGAGGCAGACAGAGTTCTTCAATACAGGACTTTAAGAGTCTGGAGGATATGTCATCAACTCCAGTCGAGGATGACGACTTAAGAGAAGTTACTGTTGCTAACACTTCTTCATTAGTGGCTGGATAAAGAAAGGTCATGTTATGTTCTAGGTCAAGGGGCTGAAGCACAGGGATGGTTCTTGAGAGGCCATCATCACTGTTTGCGTTTAATGTGTCCTCCGCAACAGTGGTGAAGTATCTGTTGAAACAATCTGCTATGGTTTTAGGGTTATCTATGGTTTCACCCTCGCTCATTATTTTCCAGACCACATCCCTCCTCTCCTCACAAGCCTTTCTCTCGGAATTGACAATGTTCCAAATCCCCTTAATTCGGTTGCTGGATTGGGAAATCGCCAGAGCATTGGTCTCACACCTGATAGTTTTCAGCGCTAGGTCGTACACTTTTTTCTTTTGCGTAGCATCAAGCTTGTCCTCATCTCTTCCAGTCAGTGTATATCTTTCCTGGGCTATTCGAAAATCATCTTTTAGTCCAAGTACGTCTTGGTTATAATGAATCATGTTCTGCCCTGACCGGCGAACAATAATAACGAATAATAATGAATGTTCCCTTTAACAGTTGGTTACCAGATAGATTTACCAGTCAATTGACTAGTAGTCAATACTTAGTCAACTTTTGAGGGTACGGTAGGGTATCAATTAGCCTATGTATTATTTAGGCAGTGGATACGCGTCCGGTAACTGGACAGGGATTGGGCGTCCGGCAGTTACTGTCATAACCTAACCTAACTAACCAAACTTACTGATAACAAAAAAAAAAATTGAATCAAGGTTAAATTCTGATCATAAAATAAAATTATAAATGCCTCAAATTATAACAAAAGATGTACAGTTAAAAAGAAATAGCAATCCAAGCAAAATCCTTGAAATGTTAGTGTCACCGATGGGATTCAATCTAGAAACCTCTTGTTCATCAGCCAAGTACTCTATCTACTACACCATGAACACCGATGGCTGTACTTCATATCGTTGTGGTAATGGTGTTCCGGGCCGCCACTGCCGGATGCCTAATCCAGGTTCGGTTACCGGACGTATCCTCTGCGTATTATTTAATGTAACTTAACTAAGTAACTTTTTATAATAGGCGTCCGTATGATTTAGCCTATATAAATTGGTTTGTTTTATTTTTTAGCATAGTTTTGACGTTACCTATTGTAGGTATTTATTACTTAATGGTATAATAAATCTCTTTAATCCCTTGAATGATTAAGTTATTTCATAATCTAACCTTCTAGGAAGGCCTATTTAACTGAATTAAGTAACAAACAGATACTTTAAATGCTATACTTAGTATTAAGCCATTAAGTCAGGGGAAGGACATCACTATCTGCTTGTTCATTAACTAAGTAAACCTAGAATGCTCAAGTTCCATCATAGTTTAAAAGTAGCTACACGTCAGAACAAGGATTCAAAGATGTTAAGATAACTTACTAAAAATAAAAGATTTTTAACATCAGGTTAGATGGTTAACTCCTAGATTCATACAATTGCAACGTCAATAGGCTAGGCCTATCTTAGGGTACAGTTTCTTAACTGGGCTACGCTAATATCTATTGAAACTATCGATTTGATTAGTAAACCTTCATGCGATTTTTTCACCATCAGCAAGTTTGGTTGGTTAGGTTGAGTTGTGTCGGTTGTGATAGTTTAATTTTAAAATAGATATATTTTAAAATATTGATTATTAAGTTAATCAATATTTTCAATTCGATAGTTTCAACCGATATTTGCGTAGCCCAGTTAAGAAACCTGTACCGTAAGTTAACCTTATCTTAAGTTAATTTGTAGGGGAAATTCAACATTCATCATTATCGATCAAATAGAATAAATTTCCTACTACCATTTTCTTTTATCTGATGTTACAAACAAAACTATGTTCTTAGCCTTAAAATCCTATGATTAGGCACTTACATTCATGAAATTACTTAAGTTAAACTCAAACTAGATGCATGGCTCAATCTCAGGCCTAAGTTTGATCAGGTAAGTTGCGAGAATCATAATAACTGATGAAACTTAAAAAGAGTTAGGGCTAAGCCCACAAATTGTTATTTTCAATGCGCATCTTACTTATTGGGTTCGGGCACACTTCCATATCTGTTGGCATAAACAACCAAATGAGTAATATTGATTATTCGATTGTTTAATTCGATGTATCGTTTGGTTAGCTAGGTTAGGTTAACCTTACCTAACTAACCAAACGATATATTGAATAATCGATATATCAATCGATATTTTTGTTCAGTTTTGTGCCAACAGATATTGAAGTGTACCCTTGGGTTCCTTTGGGTTTACAGGTGGTTATCACTAGGCTCATTGACCAAAGGCCTGCTGTAAAGATTAAAATATTAAAGGCCTACCGATAGTAATTATTTGAAAATTCAAAAATATAGGTGCCTAAAATTGTACTTACCATTATCATCCGCCACACTGTCTTTCGATGGGTGAGTCGATTCGTTTTCAGGACTTTCCATGACTTAACTTTAAATTCAGTCTGACTATCAGAGTTTCAAGAAGGTAAGTCAAGGCGTTTGAGCTTAGTTACTATCCTATTGAACCTTTTGTTGGGACTATTAGCCTTTTGTTGAGGCTGTACTAAGCCTAGGCCTCGTTGATAACGATACACCAATGATGATTGTTTTTGGGGGGGAAACTGTAGTATATAGTTATAAGATCAAGACATCGGTTGTAGAGTTATTGAGTCATAGGCTAATAGTTTCTCCTTAAAATGAATTATATAATATTAACAATAAAAAAAACCTAAATTCCTGACATCTGCTAAATGAACCCTACAAATTTGTAGCTGAAACTTCAGTTTGTTGAATTATAAATTCGTCATCAGTAAGAAAACACTTTTACGGGAACTAGGCTTAACACGTAAATTCTAATCTGCTTTTATCAGCAATAAACAAGTAATGTAATTAAATACTTCCATTTATAAATAAATCGGTCCCTTTACATTAAAACCAATGACACAATCAATTTGATGACAGATGAGATGACAGAATAGGACTTAGGACTAGACCTAGACACTAGACATGGTGTGGTGACACTGGTGACAGTTAGTTAACAGTCATGGACTAATGAAATAATGAAACCCAACTGCAGACTGCCCGCAACATCATCAATCATTGATTATAAAACTCCTGGGAGTAGTATCACGGCCGCCTTTAATATATATCTGTACATTTAAAGCGGAGTCAATATTTCCATAGTCCAGTAACCAAGCTTTCGGAAGATATGGGGGTTTAGTGAGTGGGAGAACCTTTCCACGCCGTTCCGGCCAAACCTCGCATGCGGGGTTGGTTTGGCAGATTGGACACACCTAAACTCCTCTCACTTGTTAGCTGCGGAGAGTTACCTTCTGCCAATGGGTGTTGGTCCACCTACAGAACCAAGTGAGGAGGGCCCTAGGCCCTAGACTAAGGTGTAATGTGATCCGTGCCAAGAGTCTTGTGGCACTGGGGGCCGAATATTCAGTGTCTTCTTAACAGACCCTTCTGGGAACCAGTCGTACCAGTCGAATGTAGCCCTTACCTTTCTAATCCGGTCACTGGGGGTGGACCTTAGATACCCGGTATTTATGGGAACAACGAGGACCATCTGACCCCAATGGAGGAGGAATGTCTGCTTAAATCTGACGATGACGACAAGCTCGCAGAAACCGGAAAGGAACGAAAAAACGACTTTCCAGAGGTGATTTGCGAAGATGGAGGATAGCGGATGCCTTAGCCAAAGGCAAAAAGGTGCTATCCAGAAATAAGAGGAGGCTGGCGTGTGCTGCCAAGCACCCTAACTCTGCTCCCTGCAAAGCCAGTTCCTCCGGGAACCAGGATGCTGGAAAAAAGCAGGGTGAGGGCGGCACCCCCAAAGCTGACTCTAATGAAGCCTCCAGGAAGAAAGATGCAAAGAGGGGGCGAAAAAAGAAGACGAGAACGAAAGAGGGAGAGGTCTTGGGTATTTAAAAGAGAGCACCGTCACCCACCTATTCGGAGACACTGTCCGTAGAGAAGATGGCTAAATCGCTAAATCTGAACACCCAGACTGAACGGACGGAGGCTGAAGCCAATAAAATCAAGGGGGAGCTGTCCATATGGGCCATTCGTCGTGGCAAAGACGTCAGGATAAGCAGCTGCCATCTTGAAGGCGGAGCAAACGCAGCCACAGAGGATTGGCTGGTCAAGCTAGTTCAGGAGCTTGCCTTAGCCAGAGAGACCTTGTGAAAGCTGTTAAGGTATCAGCGTTTTGTGATATTTATGTGCCCAGCCCTACAAGGTCTGCGTATAAGATCCCTTGGTCTATTGATGGGAGATCAAAGGGAAGAACACCATAGTCAAAAGGTTCTTACAGTTCATTATAAGGACCTGGGATTTGACGGATAATGAGAACCTGTGAATGAGGTTGTACAGTTAGCTGTTCTAGCTGCGATGCAATCCCATGGTCACTTGTAAGCCTGACCCTCTGTTTAAAAAAAAACCCCACCGCAGCATACCTGCTGACTAAGCGAATTTCAACTTGTCTGATTACATTTTTACTAAAACATTTCCATAAATAAGACATATTTATTCCCAATTTAAATAACATTAGATTTAACGAGTGCTTAGGTTTGCTGCTACGAGGAAGATAAAAAGTGGGTTTTGACCATACGTCAATAGTATAGGATGAAATAAATAAATTTGTCAAATTTTATCATTATATATCCATAAACAAGTAAATTACAACAGTTTTCATTTTCTCTATAAGAATAACATTGGAATTTTATATTATCCTTTTAGCGAATTTCCCTATAGGGAAGTAGCTATTACCGTAGGTTTCATGGTAAGAGCTAAGCCCGGGACCGATTTACTTTTTCATTTTGATGTCCCCAGAGGCCAAAAACACCATTCGTTCAAATTTTTATATATCTATATACAGATATATATGTGTGTGTCCATCCGCACGATAACTTGAGTAATTTTTGTCCGATTATGATAAAATTTAGTTTGAAGGTGTAAGGCGGATAAACTTGAATTAGTTCGCGAACCAGCATAATCGGACTATGGGAACGGGGGTTTATAGGGGGTTCTATGGGGTAAAAATAGGTTTTTCATTTTTGACCCTAAAAACACAAAATTTCACAATTTCTTTTTAAACCATTTTGTAGAGCTTAAAAAAACAAATAATTTAGTATATTGAAGCGTTATTATGCGCCTAATTGTTACGGAGAAAATTCAAAAAAATTGTAATTTTAAAATTCCCATGTTATTCTTATGGAGAATAAGTCAACTGTTAGTTGTAGCATAGAATTTTATATTACTTCATCTATGGTTGTAGTTTGCTTGTTTATGAACATATTTTGATCGATTTTGGAAAATACTTTAATTTCTTACTAAACTATTATCATTTTATAAAAAAAATCTTTTTTACCCTCCCTGTTGCAACAAACCAAAAGTACTCGTTAAACTAATTGGTGTGTTCGCCCCCCCTACTTCTCGCGTGCGCTGTTGCCAGTTCTCCGTTCTAGTTCCTTCATTCCGTTCTGTATTCATGTGGCTATGCCCTAGCCACTGTAGCTCATTGACCGCGCTCATCACGTCCTCTTTTATTAGTGTAACGATTTTTTTACATGCAGTTTTTTCCAACCTCCAATAATTTTGACAATTATTGGATTTAAAGTCAATGGACCAAATGAAATGTCATGAGGATTACATGATAAAACTACATGCTATGTCGTTGATATTTTATCGTCACATTGTATGTATGGTTTACGAACTTAGATACTTGGATTAAAGGCCTTAATGTGCTGGGTAAATTATCAGTTTCATGGATACAAGAAATTTACATTAAAATACACAATAAGTATGACTCCGTTTGTTTCTGTATGCATATAATTAATTCATGGTAATGTAAAAGTATGGTAACGAATTTTTCCCCACACTATGATGTTTTTAGCTGTTTTACATACGTTAATTGGTGGCTGAAAGTAACGTTTTGCGAATCTATTCGCCTATTGGGTCTGATGATGATTGGAGTGTCCAATCGAAATCGATCACCACTTACCAACTTTTACATGTATTTACCGTCTTGTAAGTCAACAGCATAAGTGTATATTATTGCAAGTGTTATTAGACGTAATATAGTTTCTGTATTTTTAATTTATCTAACTGCCCAAATAGTTCCCCCATTCGCACTGCCAGCCTGTTTCCTTCCCTTTTCATAGCATTTTAGGATTGAAGATTCATTAATCTAACTGCCACAGACGGTTCTCACACTATACTCATACTTTACTACTTCCTACATCGTGGACCTGTTTTCATCACTTTCCATAGGATTTTAGTATTTTAGATACGTTAATCTAATTGCCACAAACATTCCCCACACTCCGCACTGCTAGCCAGTGGCGTTGCTTGGTTAAATTCCAGGGGGGGGAGAAGCCTCAAATTTCCCAACTGCCTAACATAGATTTCCCAACTATTTTTTTTTTTAAATCAATTTCTGTACCGGTACTATTTTTAAAAATCTACAAATTATTATACTACACTGCAGTAACATTCAATTCAGTATTTATAAACTCGCATTAACAAAACATAGCTAGTTTTACATCCTATACAAAATTACTCAATTTCTAAAACTTCTACCAATTCATAATGAAATTTTATGACTTCAAAAAGCTTGAACAAGTAATGTTTCGAATCCAAAAAACTTTAAAAACCATTGTGGTAGCAGACGTAGCAGTGTAAAATTTTAGTGATATAAAATAAGCCTCAGAGTACAAATTAGTGGGTATAGAAAATATATTTTATTACAAAATAATGAAATTAAAATACTTTTAGAAGTTAAGATCAACATTTTAACTTTCATAAAACTTACAGCTAGGGTAGGCCTAAACAAGTTTGTAATGATGAAATATTAATATCAGTGTTGTGAATAATATTACTCCAGCCTAGAAAGGAATAAACCTAAAGTAAGACTCGTATAAAATAAAAACGTTCAACTTGGTTGATAATAAACTTATACATACAATAAAAATGTTAACCTTCATCTTCATCAAACTAGAACTTAGACAAAAATCAAACTTAGAGTGAAAGTCAAACATCAAATTTTAGGTTATGTTTTGTCCACGTAGATCTGTTTCAGAGTGATTAGTTGATTCATTTTTGTAAATCCTTAATTAGGAGTGTTAAATAACTTGTGTAGATTTTTAAAATATATTCAGAGAATAAATATTCCATTTAGTTTATTAAAAAATAAGAGTTTTAAAGGTAATACCGATACACAAAACCTATGTTTAATGTTATTTTAATCTGCTTATTAGCAAGTACTCCGGTCAGTTAGCCTGCTCCAAATACCACAAAAAAGGTATAAAATATATTTCATGTGACTGACGTGAAAAATATTTTTGAATTTCTTGTAAACACTAACAAACAACATAATTGAACAGAAGAGCTACATTGCTTGCACTTTCAAAATTCAAACTTGCAGACGAATCATTCAGAATAATCAACACAGGACAGGATCAAGGTACCCAACATGCGTCCAATAAGGAACAAAATTTCTCGTAAACGAAATTCCAACAAGCTTTACCGCTAATTGATTATTGATTTCTTAAAATAAGGCGTGTTTAGCCATGGTTTAGCCTTGTTTAATCAAAGTTAAATTAAATCAAAGAAGCGTCAAGTTTATTTGTCCAAGTCAAAGAAATTTTTCCCTTTGATGGATTTTTGCAAATATTTAAATTTTGTTTAGTTTAAAAATATATTTTTCTTGTATCCGACTTCCCAACTGTCCCAACTCATGGCAAGGAAATTCCCAACTTTTCTCTTTCCCAGATTCTAGGGGGGGGAGGCTCCCCCCCCTACCCCCCCCAAGGCGACGCCCCTGCTGCTAGCATTTACTACCTACTTCTTTCACCATTTCCTATGTCGTGGGCATGCTTCCATCCCTTCTCATTACATTTCAGTATTGCAGATACATTAATCTAACTGCTAAAAACGGTTTCCAGTTCCCACACTCCACACTGCTCACCTTACTACTTCCTTCACCTCTTCCTACGTTGTGGACCTGTTTCCCTCACTTCCCATAGCATTTTAAGATTGTAGATACCTTAATCTAATTGTCATAAACAGTTCCCACACTCTGGACAGCTCGCCTTGACTACTTCCTTCACCACTTCCTACATCTCGGACCTGTTTTCCTCCCTTCCCATAGCATTTTAGGATTGCAGATACCTTAATATAATCGTCATAAAAAGTTGCAACACTCCGGACTGCTCGCCTTTACTACTTCCCTCACCACTTCCTACGTCACCGACCTGTTTCCCTCCCTTCCCTTAGCATTATTGGATCGCAAATACCTTAATCTATTGGTCATAAACAGATCCCACACTCCGAACAACTCGCTTTTACTACTTCCTTCGTCGCGGACCTGTTTTCCTCCCTTCCCATAGAATTTTAGGAGTGCAGATACCTTAATCTAATCGTCATAAACAGTTTCCACACTCCAGACTGCTTACCTTTAATACTTCCTTCACCACTTCCTACGTCTCGGACCTGTTGTCCTCCCTTCCCATAGCATGTTAGGATTGCAGATCCCTTAATTTAATCGTCATAAACAGTTCCCACACTCCGGACAGCTCGCCTTGACTACTTCCTTCACAACTTCCTACATCGCGGACCTGTTTCCTTCCCTTCCAATAGCATTTTAGGATTGCAGATACCTTAATCTAATCGTCATAAACAGTTTCCACACTCCAGACTACTTCCACCTTTACTACTTCCTTCACCACTTCTAAAAAAAAAAAAAAAAAAAAAACTATAATTATGTGATAAATAGATTTTTCTAGGAGGAAATCACCAATGCTGTGTAACTATCATTTTACCACGAATGGCATGCATAGAGATATACAAGGTGAGGAATTGACAAAACTTTCCAGTACAATTTAAAGTCTCTTTATTTGTGAAACATACCTTACACCGAAATGTACTGAAGTAGCTTTACAAATTTGGAATATGACACCGGTATGTCATAAGTCGTAGAAAGTAAAACTCCTATGAAGATGTGATCTTTATTCACTATGGTATTCGTAAGCATATGTAATTTTGTAATATTCACATAAATACAACAACTGTTCATGTACAATAACAAATCATCATGACACTTATACAAGTAACCAAATGCTCATTTGATTTGCACAAACATAAGTTATATTCAAAACAAAATCGTTCTAAATCAGTTATTTTACAAAACGTTTAGTTCTATCTTTAACGCTCAACATCCAATTTTAACAGTAAATAGTGAATCTCTTGACATGAAAAATAAATAACAAAACAACAAAACCAAAATGGTAAGTAATATTTTAAAATTTAAAACTAATACATCAGTTTCAATTTACAATTAATTACTAATTTTGTGACTAGAATTTTCACAGCACAAAAACATTGTACGCTTTATAAGTACAAATGGCACAAAAAAGAACTTACATACAACACAAGATGGTGGCATTAGAAAATATCACAGGCTAAATTAAATCATACATCCATTAAAGACTAGTATTTGGTAGGTTTATAAATTATGGTAGGTATAAACTCTTGAAGAGTCTAAGTACTTTAAAAAGTTTTAAAAGTAAAACTAAAACCAAATTCAATTTATCATGCACAAAATATCATAAAAATTTGTTTTAATGATTTGGAGTTAGTTTAAAATGTATTTTTTGTTTGAGTAAATTTTTCACTACCGAAAGACTTTGATACTGCTCAGTCTGATTGGAAAGCAATGTACGTATTATCAGTGTCGGAATTTAGGTACTTACAGCCCTAGGCCAAATTACATGAGCGGCCTCCACCACTGTGGTGGAAAGTCCCCGAGATAGCGGTGAAATCGTGAAAATCTCCCATGACCAACATCATTATCATCCTCACCCACGACTGCAGCAAAATCGTGAACATCTCCCGGGGGCCGCAATCACAGGGACATCATCGACACTCGTCGCAAAATCAAGAACTTCTTCCCCGGGCCCCAATTACAGGGACATCCAGGGGTGCCCACAGGGGGGTTTTATGTCTCAATCGGCTACATCAGGAAATTTTTGGGAGGGATTTTATGATTTTGGGGGATTCAAGCCATTGGTTGGTTAGAAGCACATAAAAGATTTATCAGATAATTTGTACGACTCCCTTAATTTATTACTGGGGTAATTATGCAATCAAAATCCCATTTGACATTTTATCTTATTAAATAAATCATTTTATAATGGCTATAAAATATAAATACATTTATTTGGATTTCCACTTTTGCACTCGTATCATGATTGACAGTGAGAAACACTGCTGTCTGTAGAACTGACAACTGCTGTCAAAGGATTATGGTTGGCTTATTAAATTTTATCTGCAGTTTGCAGTTTGTTTTTACCGTTCATTATGAAATCATTTCTCAAATGAACTCATTGCCTTTTAGGAAATATATTATTCTACTAATAAATTATTCTTACATTAAATAAAATACAGTGCTACTAAAGGCCTCTTGGTTGTATGATAAGTTTAAGTAATCTACTTCTTTCAACTGCTCCTGTTGACTTGTCTGTAACATTTCCATGAAAATAATTGTTGGTGAAGTATGTAAACTATATGAGATGTTTAGGATAATTATCTATGGTTCCATCAAAATATAAATTGGTTTACTGGAAGCAAACTGTCCAGCTGTTTTATGAAAATCCAATTTGGTTAAAGTAAAATTAACCTAACAAATGGTTTGCTACTAGAGTCCTACTCAATATGTTTCTCAAGCGGTTGCATCCTATGCTTAACACGACTGAAAAATCCCACCAGCCTCCTAACCCCTTTTATTATAGAATAACATGTTTTATATAATTAAAGGATTCCCAATTCCGTCAATAGAAATAATGATATAACTATACACAGTTTTAATGGACTACTCGATTCCCGTACATAGGACGGGCCAACAGCTTGTTCCCATAAATTTGCAATGTAATTTAAAGAAGTGTCGAGGACACTTCTTTCCTATTTTAACTATGGTTTAGTCACCATGCACCAGACCTCCCGGCATGGGTTAAACAACAAATTTGGGGGGGGGGGGGGGATTCTGCGACATGAGCTTTAGGGATGGGAGATGGGCAACCCTTGGGACATGATCAAAACTTAACTGCGGCAAAATTGTGAACATCAAATAAGAATTTACCCTGTGGGAACGGGCGCAACTACGGGGAGATAATCTTCGACACTCGCGACTACGGCAAAATCATGAGTATCTCCCGCAGGCCGCAATCACGGCGACATTATTGTCGTCATCTGCAATCCCGGCAAACTGATGGTTTAAAAAAGTTAAAATTTGTTCTGAAAAATGTTTTTTGTCAATCCTCTGCGGCTTCCTTATGCTTACGGCCCTAGGCCGCGGCAGTGGTAAATCCAGCACTGCATAGTATTATAAATATACCATCAAATACAGTAATATTCCCTGATTCACAAATCATAGATTACAATACTATTCCTGATCAACAAAATTGCTTAAAGAAAACCTGCAAAAATGTACACTAAAAAAAGGTTATAAAGAGACTAAATCTAAACAATAAAATATTGCCAACACTGTTTAATGATTCTAACTTCTTTCACGAATGAAACTTCATTAAGCCAGAATATTCACTGCATAACAACAAACATAAACATAACAATATTCTATACACTATTGACAGTAAAGTAACAAAAACTACATATGGTACCTTAAATGGGAACAGAATCCAGATCCAATTTACAAATTCAGCTTACATACATACAATACCTAGACGTACAATGATCACTACAATATACAGTCTATCAAGTATAAAACTATGATACAGATGTACATTCAACGCTTTACACAGGGCGGGAGGATTGCCAGGAGGAAGCTCAAATGGGTGTCGGTAGCACAGTAAAGTCTTGCAATGCAGATTTCACTGTTTCGTAGATAGGTCGGTTGTTTTCATCACAGTACGCCGACCCCTCCACTCCACTACCACACAATGTTTGTAGTCTACTCAAGTAGCTGTCAAAGTTGTCATGCGTCATTTTCTCCGGAGGACCTCCAGTAGAACCATTTGGTATCCTAACATGTTCCAACAGGGTGATCACGTTATTCCGCAAACTCTCATAATACTCGTTGAGGTTGTTGTTTCGTTGTGTGATCTGTTGTGTTTCCTGAAAATTAAAAACACATTAATTTAAATCTTATGAATCCATCTAGTTTGAGAGCTTTAATAACTTAGGTCATCCTCATTAGCCTACAGTTTAACTATGACAGGACAGGTATTTGCTAAATTTGACATATTACATAGGCTATACAAAAGTTGAATCAGCATATTAGCCTACTTCAAAATATTTTTTTAGTGTTTAACACTTGATCTTTTCCAAATTTTACATTCTAAATGTGGGTACAGCAGTAAAATCAATATTTTCCACTTCACCCATTTACCCAACAGACAGGTGCACTTTTGATAACTTTCACATTAATACATTTTAAAATATCTCAACAATCAATCTGAATCCACAATGATATTAAATAATAATGATCCATAATGATATAAGAATGTGCAATGATATTTTCCACAATAACTACAGGCAAAGCTCCATGTGGATGATTTGTATGTTTAAAATATGTATCATATTTATCAGAAGTATTAGTAAAGTGTAAATTTGCCTAATTTAACCCAACAAATGGCAGTGTGACTGTAATAGTTGCGGTAACTTAGTTGGTGTCTGTAGTGGCAGAGACAATAATAATGACTTTTTAAGGTTCTTTTCACTCCAAATAAATGGCTAAAACTATTGTTAAATACAGGGTGTTTATAAAAGAATGCCGGGATTTAAAATGGTAATTGCTTGGATACTATTCAATAAACGTTTTATACGTCAAATTGAAGCTAAAATAACTAAGTCTTGTTTCCCGTGTAGTAAGGTAGGAAACTTCAACCCCCCCCCCCCCCACCTTCACCTTGGCATGCGCAAAACAGGTGCGGGGGGGGTAGGGTACTTGCTCGTGCAATGTTTACGGCGCAACAGAAGGCACTGCGTATAATCTGTGGTTCACTGAGTTTATATCGATTGCTAAATTAAACTTAATTTAAATCTACTTGATGATAAATAAATTTGACGCCGGTTTAATGAGTTTCGTGGCACCATAGAGTTTTGAAAAGACAATCACCTGGGCGGCTAAAAACAAGCGATGACATACCTAAATCAACACTTGTTATCTGTACCGCGAGTCATACCGACGATAACCCCGTGACCGCGGAGTCATAACGACGATCGCGCCGTGACCGCGAGTCATACCGACGATCGCGCCGTGACCGCGGAGTCATGCTGACGATAACCCCTTTACCGCGGAGTCATGCTGACGATCGAGCCGTGATTGCGAGTCATACCGACGATCGCGCCGTGACCGCGAGTCATACCGACGATCGCGCCGTGACCGCGGAGTCATGCTGACCATCGAGCCGTGATCGCGAGTCATACCGATTATCATGCCGTGACCGCGGAGTCATACCGACGAAAACCCCGTGACCGCGGAGTCATACCGACGATAACCCCGTGACCGAGGAGTCATACCGACGATAACCCCGTGACCGCAAAGTCATACCGACGATCGCGCCGTGACCGCGAGTCATGACGACGATCGCGCCGTGACCGTGAGTCATACAGACGATCACCCCGTGACCCGCGAGTCACAAGTTACTATAGATACCTGTAAATTGTTACCAATTTTTTGGCTTTTATAGATCAGTGCCACAAATGGTAAAAATTGATTTTGTATGTCTTTTTTGGTAACTGCAATACAGTACTTTCTTTTTATGCACAGGAAAAAATCCCGTCCCGTCCCGTCCCGAAAATTGGGAAGGAAATAAAAATCCCATCCCGTCCCGTCCCGAACTAAAAATTCAATCCCGTCCATCCCTAATTTTATATTAACAATTGCTTGATCATTAAACGGAGCTTTCCTTTCAACTCTTAAAAAACAATAAATTATTCTTTTTCTTCTGATTTGTTCTACTTTATTAAAAACCCAGGTTTCTTTTCTAAATATTAAAAGTTTTATTCTAAAATGGCACATTGTTAAAATAAGCTAAATATAATTTAATTTGCATGCTTTTCCCTAATCATGATGACAAAAATAAAAATTATAGTTAACCTATAAAAGAAGAAATTAGTAGTCCTTACAATGTTCAGAATTTATAATTTCTCAAAAGGATATTCCGGGTCACTTAAAACAAAATATTAATACCTTGTCTCCTTGTCTTAAATGTGCTTCCATTGCACTTATATCTGTTTTTAATCGGAGCATTTGAGATTCCACTCTGGCATTCTCTCTTTGTAGTTCAGTGATTTCAGCTTCAAGTGTATACAAGTCTTCTCCACCCCCACTGCCTTCTAAATCTGTATACAAAACACATATGTTATTATACTATATGAAATGAACTCTTATGTAACAGCAAGTAATTAATAATAATCATGCAACTCATTATATAAAACTGAGATTATAAATATATTAATTTTTACCGATAATATATGGCTAATTTTGTAAATAAATAATTTGAGGAGTAATGCAAGTATAGCCAATGAGCTGAGCTACTCAAGGGGTGGATGGGTGGAGTATAATCTGTGATGGAAGGAAAAATCAATATTAGCTTCTAGCCAGCAACCTGAGGTTCTGTGCTCTATGCACTAGGGTGTATAACCTCTGACCAATCAATAATACTGTCTACATTAGTGATTCAGTATAAGGATTTTGGTGGAAATGTTTTTTTATAACTATCTAAACGTTTGATGATTGTGTTTGGGATATTATGGTTGTTTCAGGGCTCATTGAATGGTTTTAGTTTAGTCTAAAACATACATAATTTATAGAATTAAATCAATTTGACATCTACCCCTCTACTAGGTTATAATTGGGAAGGTAGGCTAGGTTTCAGTTATATCCTTTTAAAGTGACATAAGATATAGTTACATTTAATGGTAGATATTTATAATTTTGAAAAAAAGTAACTATTAACATTTGAACAAATGTAATTTACAGTAGAAAGTTTTGTATTTTTAATAAAAAATAAACATGCAGACAAAATGTGACAAGAATGGGAAAGTACCTACACTATAAGTGGGGGGCTGGCCCGGAACCTAACTGCAATATTGATTGAATAACAAGAAATCCGGGTAGAAGTCCCGATCCAGCACATAACCTTTCCCATTCTTGTTATCAAATATGTCTGATAAGATGAGCCCTGGAACCAACAACAAATATCATTCACACGGACAACACAGTGCAGAACCATTGAAACAACTGTATTAAGACACTCATGGCATAGGCAATAACGGATATTATAATGGTAACTTCACAAAACACAAATGCAAACAACTATGCTACAAAAAAACATTAACATATGTAAATTATAATTTTAACAAGATAATTTATTACTGCAAAATAAACAATCAGAAGGAGAGTACATCATCACCTACGTGTTTCTTTCAAGGGCTGAATTATAACGTAATTTAACTTGATGGCTATTGTTACGGTACTAAAATATTAAACCAAAAGGTAATTATCATTTTCCTCTGATAAACCTTAAATTACCATAATGAATACAAATCTTTACTTGAACAACTTATGTGATGTACAGGTGAATATTGCTTGCAGCTACAACTGTTTTGCTCTCTAATAAGTTATAGCTCAGACCTCAGATACACTATTCAATTTTATTACACATAACTAACTACTGACAAGATTAATTTTTGCACGAAAGTGGTATGGGAAAATGGGGTAGTTGGTAGTTATCATATAAGCAATTGATTACTTTCAATCCAAATCTGTTCATGAAGATACTTTGTTTAAAAATGTTGAGAGAGACAAAGTTCTATTTAATATCTGTTTAATATATAGGAAAACTGTTAACCTAGCACATTCTATAATACAGATACAATGTTACACAGGTAGATCTTGCTATACACTGATTTTCATTTATTTTTTTTTTCCCAACTATGGAAGTAAATATACAGTTGCCTACCCAACTGTATATTCATTATTTATACTACATTAAAGTACTGGGGGACCGAGCCATGGCTCAGTACAGATTATTTTGATTGTAAAAGCAATATAAAGGAAACTTACGTTTTATTTACAACTAATTTTAGCTTTTATTATTTTATCATGGAAAATACAATTATTTATGTATAACTTATGTAAGGGGTTTGAATTATTTCGTAGTATTAATCTAAAACATTCTTTGAGTAAAAGTAAAACTTCAGCATGAGCATACTCTCTAAAATACTCTCCCATGATTGATTAGCTGAAGACAGATAAGTCTGATTCAAGCATATATTGTTTACTATAAAGATTAATGTAATAAAATTAACTTTAATACTAATTCATATGAATACAGCTGTCTCAAATTATGTAAAATATAACAAAAGAGTGTATAAAAATTTTGAATCTACCCTTAAATATGAGTGAAACATTGAGTTGACGCCAGTGCACTAAAATGTCACCAACACGAAACACTCATCAACATTTTCCCCTATATCGATTAATCTTTGCTGAATAGTTACAACTGATGTTTTCCCTCTGTACCGTATTTATTTGCTAGTATAGTAGTGTGGATGGCTTGTAATAAACACATTACAAGTCTTTTAACTTTTCCTTGTTATTTTGTTCAACCAAAATAGTTACTTGGCAACCTATAAATTTGTTAATTTCCAAAAGAATTGTGTAGTGAAATACAAATTTTCCTGAGACAGTGCCTGTTGCCAATCACGTTTTTAGGGCTATAAGTGCCTAATTCCAAAAATTATTCAAAATCCTTCCCGCTGGATTTCAACCGTAATATGTATTTATATGTTACAGACAGACAGACAATCGGACATAGCTTGTATTAGAGTATAGGATATTGGAGTTTACATTAATTTTCATGGAGTCCTTTGTTTTGTGGGGAAATAACCTACCGGTAACTTTGTTTAAAACGGTTAGTTTGATAAGCAGTAGCAGATAACACAATAAATAAGTTTACTTTTAAAAGGAGCTGCAAGATATATTTTTCAACAGTGACAGCAGTCTATAAACAGTCCTTGCACATTTTCGATAAGCACTGCAGTTTGCCAAAACACCTCTACCAAGACTATGGCGAACACTTCAACCTGTAAAGAGGGTTCAACTGCCTTGATGTCTGATACTCACGATTTGGTGGTTTGGAGTACATGTCGTCGCTGCTGTACTTGTACTGGGGTTTCTTAGGCGGGACGGACAGTGGGTTGGTAGCCGTGGGACAGCCACCGAGGGAGCGATGTGTGAGGAACGATCCGTTGATGTGTCCGCCGCCATCACAGCCGGGTGTGGGACAGTTGATGCCGTCCAGTTTTGCTGCAGCTGTGACCGCTGCCAACGCCGCCTTGTGCTGCTCAACAGTCCCCCCACTCTCCAACACTCTCATCTTGTTGCGATTTGCTATCGGACAGCCCGAGGCACTGTGGGCAATAGGCTAGTATTAAGGTGTTGACTGTTCAAACTATACAATGGGATCCTGCTCAATCATAATTAAGTTTGTTGGAGAAGGAAGTCAATGAAAGTATGTAAATAACTTCTTCATCTGAATTGTATGTGTTGGCACTATTATAAGAACGGTAATACACTAACACAGATTTCAAAATAGTGGCATTAAAAACGTGCATTTAAAGTCTACCTTACAGTGTATGCAAACCTGCAGATAGAATAAAGTATGAATCTCTTGCTAATAAAACAAATGCTTACTACCTAATAACCTAAAAATTGAGATTTTAAAATAACACATTTTAATAACTTACTGTGTGAACAGCTTAACAGTCCCACTGCCAGTATCTCAGAAACTATTATATCTAGAGAACATTTTAAGTGGGGGACTTTACCTAGTTTTTCATCATAATCAAAATACAGTATGCCTAATCAATTTCGTTTCTTTATAAACGGTCGCTAATTTCCAATATGGGGACTATCTTTAAAATTTCTTATAAGCAAGAGGCTCATATTAGGCCTACAATGTAATATGAGCCTGGTACTCATACATGTCATGTCAATCTCGTAAATTGACACGGCAAGCCACCATTTTCCAATGTTCAACATGTTGTAGCTCCTGAACAAGTAGGCTTGGAGAAAACATGAAAAGTCTTAAAATCACATTTTAATACTAAAACCCCCTTGAAATAAATGGTGCTCCATAAGAAATTTAAAATTCAGTCGCCATATTGTAAAATGGCAATAATTTATTAAAACAAATGGAACTAGTTATTTTAATTATGAAGAAAAAATAGGTGAAGTTTCCCATTTAAAGTTTTCTCTACATCTAATAGTTTCTGAAATACTGACTAAAAGAAAACAAAGTATTTTAGTGAGAGGTTTTGTTGACTACAACCGATATTACTCAATAAATAAATTTGTCTTTCGGCGAGAGCCGCATCAAGTTGGTAGGTATTTACAAAGATTTATTTCAACAAGAAACAAGGTTGCACACACTTGTACAGTTGATGTCAAGATACTAAGAGTCCTAACAAGTAGAAATTAGAAGTGGTGAATACTATCTAAAGATCAGTAGGACTGAACTACTACCTATATAACTTTAATACGACACACAGTCAGTAATTTGATGAAGTTATGAGCACTGAGTAGGTCAAGATAAAAAAAAGCTTAACAAATAGTTCTACTTGGCCTTTGCTAAATTTTTAATTACTATATTTAATAACACAAAAGCTGTATAAGATGTGTGACAAAAATTAATATAGGTGCTTTAAAGCTACAAGCTGAGTAAAGGCTATATATAATTGAGTCCAAACACAAAAGCTTCAAGTGTCAACAAATTATTGTATCTTATAGAAGTAATGGAAGATTATTTTCAATAAAATTGTACGCACCTAACTTATTACAGAATATACAATATAAAACAGGTCTCGTGCAAAATCAAAGCAGGATGGAAAGTAGGAGAATAAAGAATGCAACAAACTATGAGTTTTGAGAACACCATTTCTTTAAACTAATTATAGGAAAGTAGAACTTGAGTCAACAGGAATAATTTGAGGAATATTTTGGACTGAAACCAAATGAGGGTAACATGCAGTTAAGAATTAAATAAGAGCCAGGACACGCACACATAGAAACATACCTCCGATGTGACAGAAATTTGCCAGTGGCATGACCAGACCCGTCGCATCCAGGAATGGGGCATCTGCATTAGTTAGCAAGGGCAACAATATGGGATTAGTGTTTAAATAACTCCCAACACCACTATACAGTATCAAGCCAAGATGGAAAAAGGACATTAAACAACATCTGTTATAAAAAACACTTTGAGAGAGCAACATATTTTCAATAGAAAATGTAATGTATTGAATATTTAGTTTTATAAAGGGTGGCGCAGATGGATCGGGTGGTTTTAAAATATTTGTCAAACTGTCAATTTTAAAGGTATTGGATTGAAATAAAGTGCAAAACGTCTAGTCACAATGGAAGTTTATTGACAACAAATTTGTTAAGTTAGTTTTTAAAAATTACATCCATCCAATGCCTTCCTTCTCGAGCGACGCATTCTTGGAGTCGGTCCTTGAGGTTCCACATTGCTCGCTCAAGCACATTACCAGGAATTGATGTGATTTTGTTGTGAATTGCAGCCTTCAACTCTGAATGGTCTGGGGTTCGTTCATGTAGACCCTTTCTTCAGGAGTTGAAGGCTGCAATTCACAACGGAATCACATCAATTCCTTGTGATGTGCTTGAGCGAGCAATGCGGAACCTCAAGGACCGACTCCAAGAATGCGTCGCTCAAGAAGGAAAGCATTTGATGGATGTAATTTGATGGATGTAAAAACTATCTTAACTAATTTGTTGTCAATAAACTTCCATTGCGACTACACGTTTTGCACTTTATTTCAATCCAATACCTTTAAAATTGACAGTTTGACAAGTATTTTAAAACCACCCAATCCATCTGCGCCACCCTGTAGTATGTGATGGTAAAGAAGGAAATTTGCTCAATAGTAAAGTTTTGAGTATAAGATATTTGATGTTGTAATTACGAATAACTAAGTAGGTAATAGATTGTAAATCAGATCAATGTCTTGAAATGGTTGAAGACGAATCTGTACACTCTGGTGAATCAGTATCATATTTAACTAAGAAAAGAAGTAGGCCTAACTTTAAGTCTGGGAACCAGAACTGTGATTGATGAGAAAATACCAAAAGAATTCACTGAAGAAAAACATATTAGGAAAAGAGAGTTTTTAATTATAGCATACACAGATATATTTAGAGGCAAGAACAAGTATCAGCACAACTAAAACTGCCTAGTGTTTGCATACACACTTGTTTATGCTACCTAAAAACTTGCAATACCGGTAGGCCTACTTTCAATACTAGTGAACCTCGTCTGTTATATAGGCTAATTGCCTTTTAGCGAATATCCCTCCTATAGGGAAGTAGCTGTTACCGTAAGTCTCATGGTAAGACCTAGGCCCGGGACCGATTTACTTTTTCATTTTGATGTCTCCAGAGGCCAGAAACACAATTCGTTCAAAATTTCATACATGTAGCCTATATATCTAGGTATATACATTTGTCTGATTTTTATAAAATTTGGTTTTAAGGTGTAAAGGCGGGATAAACTTGAATGAGTTTGCGAACCAGCATGATCGGACCATGGGAACGGGGTTTAACGGGAGGTTTTATGGGGTAAAAATGGGGTGTTCTCATTATTTACCCTAAAACACAAAATTTATCAATTTTTCTCCAGACCTATTTAAAGAGCTTAAAAAAACAAATAATTTAGTAAATCAAAGTGTTTTTGTACGGTGATTGGTTACGGAGAAAATTCAAAAAATTGTTAATTTAAAATTCCCATGTTATTCTTAAGGAGAATATTGTAAACTGTTAAAGAAGTCCTCAGAGCGAATGCAGCAATGTTTGTATGTTGCCGCGCGGTATTTGCAGGTGCTCTTTTGGTTTTAACGCAGTGGATGTGACCCCTGACTGCCGCGTGGAACATGAGTAACCCGCCCGGCGCGCCTAGACGTCGAGTAGCAAGAGACTGCATTTTTAGAATAGGCCAGAGCTCAGAGGACTTCTTAACTCTCGCCTACAGTAGTTGGCTTGTTTATGGATGTATTTTGATAAAACTTGGCGGATTTATTTATTTCATACTAAGCTATTGATATTTTAATGAAAAACACACATTATTAGTTTCCCTGTAGCAGCTAACCTAGGTACTCGTTAAACATACATGTTAATTTAATATATTAATTGAAAATCAATCCAGGCAAATGGAAATTCGCTTAGTCGGCAGGTTTGCTGCAGCAGGGGTTTTTGTTATTTACTTTGCATATTTTACTATACAAAATTTATTTGCACTCAGAGGAAAACATATGGTTCCAATAAGTAAGATTTATGTTAGAACAGGTTGGCTTGACTAATATTTTTATCTTATATATTAAAACGTAACAGGGTTTTTTTATTTCACGATTCTGAACTTGACGGATTTTCATGATTTTTGTGTTGAAAGAAAGATAATTTTGAGAACTAGGGAATGTCGAAGCCATAATTTTAGTTTAGGGTTTCAGTTTTTTAGAAACTAAGTTTTAAATTCTAAAAAGTCTAGCAGCCCACGCTAACATTCTACTCTAGCTTTTGGTATAATACCATTTGCTTAACGTAACAGCTGTAAACATTCAGCATTTTGACACAAATTCAGCATTTGGATGAAAATGAAATGAGATTCACTTATTTATACTATGTGTAATGCTATAATCATTGATACATTCATTTATTCGGTAAGAGGATGAGAGTTTATTTAAATATACATAGTAAAATACTAAATGTTCTAATTTAGGGATGGTCAAGTCTCGAAATTTCGGGAAATTTTAAATCTCGTTACACGAGACGAGATTTCTTTTTGGCCGAGATTTTTATCGAGACGAGAATTAAAAAAAAAAAAATAAAATAAAAACGCCTGCAGAAAGTCAATGCAATACCCGCAATACAGGAGCGTGTTGTAGTTGGGTTTCCTTTGCGAAGGTGTTCTTATTTAATTAATTCTTTAAATGTAAATTAGGGATGGTCAAATCTCGAAATTTCGGGAAATTTTCGGGAAATTTTAAATCACGTTACACGAGACGAGATTTCTTTTTGACCGAGATTTTTATCGAGACGAGAATAAAAAAAAAAAAAAAAAAAAAAATTAAAAACGCCTGCAGAAAGTTAATGCAATACCCGCAATACAGGAGCGTGTTGTAGTTGCGTTTCCTTTGCGGAGGCGTTCTTATTTAATTAATTCTTTAAATGTAAATATTACTTTAATTATTTTAATAATATTACTTCAATAACATTTGAGAAGTTTTGTTAAGTGTAAGCCGTGTGAGGAATGTTTTATTACTATAAAAAGTCAAAACAAGTACCTAACTATTTTATAAAAATTAATATTGCTTTTATTTTATGATTTATTTTATTTTAGGATAAGTTGAACTCTATCCTAACTGATATCACTATGTTTCCTAATCGTAGGCATTTTTAATAAGTTAGGCGTGATTAATAAAAAAATGTTATGCTGATGGTTTTTAATAAAAGATTGTAAATATTCTTGCCTATTATCATTATTTTTGTATTTAAACAGTCATCTAACAATGTTACAAAATCAGGTAAAAATTTTGAACGTGCATTTCCCGTTGTGTATGAGAAGGGAAATCCCGTCTCGATCTCGTCTTGAAATTTTATGAGAAATAAAAAATCTCGTCTCGTCTCGTCTCGAACTAAAAATCCAATCTCGTCCATCCCTAATGTAAATATTACTTTAATAACATTTGAGAAGTTTTGTTAAGTGTAAGCAGTGTGAGGAATGTGTTATTACTATAAAAAGTCAAAACAAGTAACTATTTTATAAAAATTAATATTGCTTTAATTTTGTTTTATTTTATTTTATTTTAGGATAAGTTGAACTCTATCCTAACTGATATCACTATGTTTCCTAATCGTAGGCATTTTTATTAAGTTAGGCGTGATTAATAAAAAAATGTTATGCTGATGTTTTTTAATAAAATATTGTAAATATTCTTGCCTATTATCATTATTTTTGTATTTAAACAGTCATCTAACAATGTTACAAAATCAGGTAAACATTTTTAACGTGCATTTCCCGTTGTGTATGAGAAGGGAAATCCCGTCTCGATCTCGTCTCGAAATTTTATGAGAAATAAAAAATCTCGTCTCGTCTCGAACTAAAAATCCAATCTCGACCATCCCTATTCCAATTTATTTTTTTGAGCATTCTTTAAAATATTTAGTTTGTTTTAGTGCAATATAATTTGTTATAACTAACAGCTGGTTGGATTAATAAATATTCTATAGAAATTTGTGGTTATAGTTTATTTACTCTTTGATTTTGTTATTGATCATATGAAATAAGTAAGATTCTATAACCGTTGTTATATAAGAATTGAAGCTCACGAGACTTCAAAAGAAAGTTTATGAAAATTATTTTACTAATCGACTTTTTAAAGAAAGGTTGGGAAAATAACAATGATCACATGTTTTAATTCATCTTGGCAGCTTTTTCTTTACAATATATTTTGCACTACTTAAACTATGCTTGAATTAGGAATAGACACAATATATACAGTTTTAATGGACTACTCGATTCCCTTACATAGGACAGGCCAACAGCTCGTATTCCTTTAAAACTATTATCAGTTTATAGGCTACTCATAAATTTTACTTTCGTGTGGATTCTGGAAATTTTTCCAAAGGCGAAATAGAATTAATTTATTACATAAAAATATTATTCACCAAAAATATTAAATATTCAAAAAATATATGTTGCTGACATGGATAGAATAAAAAATGTTTCTCTTAATATGAGAACTGAACAGTGAAAGTTTTAACCCTTAGGAGACCAACTTCCGATTTTTCGGAAGTTAGAATTTTTTTACTAAAAAGGCGAACTTCCGATATATTGGCAGTTTCAATTAACAATTATCTAAAAAAAAGAAATCTAACAAATTAAAGTATAAAAAAATCAACAACAGCACGCAATAAATGTTAATGAGGGCTGCTATTCAGTAGTTATAGGCCTATTATTTTTTCTAACATTGCAGAAACTGTCCAAAGTACCCTGGTCCTAGGCAGCGCCTCATATACTACAGTGTCGGTCTCTAAAGGGTTAATATTTTAATATGAATGTGATTAAAATATTAAAAGAGTAGGCCTACAGTAGAACTCTAATCATCCAGGTCACTTCAGCAAAATGTTGAGTGAAAAAAATGTTGCCAGAAATAGTTAATAACTTGAATAGTAGAAAAGATCCTGTATGGGTCATAAACATAAACAAATGACGTTTTTGGCCCGAAAGTAGGCCTAAACAAAACCATATATTAATTAATGCTATTAGTATAGGGGTTTTGTTTACTTTTGAGCCAAAAACATCATTTGTTTATGTTTTATTCGTGGTTAATAAGTAAGCATTTTTTGTTTATTCTGTTGTATATTTTATTGATCGGCAAATGTGTGCAACATGTGGTAAGTTAAGTATATTGTACTGTTGTACCGATTGGCGGGCAACAAGTCAACTGCCTTGTGCCACTGTGTTATACTCTTTTATAAGTTTTTAATCTAGATAGGATGCCCTCCAATTGATCTAGCTAGGAGTTCTAAATTGGTAGACCTATATTTTGATGATGCCCTTTTACCTTCATTCAACAAGATATTTTTGAAACCCATTAAGTAACCAATAAAATTTTATAAAAAAGATTTTTTTGTCTTTGAATTAAACCTCAAAACATTATTAAATTAAATTATAAACCATTTCAATTGTTTTGTTACAATACCAAATGTTAGCCTATGATATCAAAGTGATTAAAATATAAAAAAAAACAACTCATTAAATACTAACCGTAAAGGCTCAGAGTCTTGACCATCTCTAGGTTTGCTCTTGGGCTTGTTGGCCCGAGGACAACCCGAGAGGCTGCGGTGAGAAGAGTAGTTGCCTGTAACATGTCCTGACCCGTCACAGCCGGGCGTGGGACACTTAAGCTCTTGAGAGTGGGGATGGATCTGCGTCCTGTCAGCCCGGGGACACCCAGACAAACTGTAACAGGGAGGGAGAAGTGAAGTCAAGAGATACAATGAGCTTGGTAATAAGGTATTTAAAATAAAAAACTACCATATTGAAAATTGTAGTCTTCCTATGATCATTATATCCAAGAAAAGTGCTAATAATAACCAAGTAAGACTATGTTAAATAGTCCACTAACACAATGGTTCACCAAATGCCTTTAATGTGAACATTAGCATTTTCTCCAATCAGGGCCGGTTTAACCCATACGCGAACTACGCGGCCGCATATGGCGCCACGAAAAAGTGGCGCCAACGGAACAATTTTTTTTAACGTAAACAACGTAATTTTGCTTATTTTTTCTCAGAGTTCAAGTATTCAAAGCACCACAGTAAAGGCATTTATTCTGTTTGTACCAACAGCACTTGAAAAATGCGTATATTTGTATAGCACTACAACTCAAGGACTCGATGCCATTTGCAGTTTCGATCTGTAGTGAGCTGGCGCTCGGCAGTCGGAGTCGGCAGCGTACAGCGCGACGCCTGTGGGTTTCATTTCACGACTCGGACTCTCTCACTAGTCGAGATAAGCAAGCGCGCAGCGCCACTTGTGACAACAAGAAACATCCCCGGGTCGCCGGAATTTTATCCCCCTGGAATATTACCCCCTGGGCAAAGCTGACGTCACTATGACGTAGTAACCTGAGTGGCCAAAAGTTTGTTCGCGGCCGGAATTTTACCCCCGCGGATTTGGAAGTCTAATGAAAATAGTCAGAGCGTGATTAATTAGATTAGCGATAAAAACCGGAATTTTACCCCCTGTCCATATAACTAGCGATTAGGCAACTGAAGATGTACGGGCCGGATTTTTACCCCCGGAATTTTACCCCCCGGAATTTTACCCCCTGGCTGATTTTAGAAATTGAATGATTGATTTTCTTATTTTTGTTTTTAATTAATTGTAAACATTTCATTATTTAGTAGCCTATCTTTATTTATTTATTTTGTAATCTCAACTAAGTAAACAGAATTCGCTGTTTTATTTTGATCATATTAACCAACAGTTGGCTTCAAAGATCGAATCCTGACACTCGAATCTCAAAATTAATATTAAAACCCTGTTCGAATAGTTAATGTTGCATATAAATTAAGATAGGCTACTTAATAATGAAATGTTTACCATTAAATTAAAATTGAATGACGATAATTAATCATTCTCACTAATTTATATCTGGACAGGGGGTAAAAATCCGGGGGGTAAAATTCCGGGGGTAAAATTCCGGGGGTAAAAATCCGGGCCGTACATTCTAGGTTTTTATAATTTGATGTGTTCTGATTAAACTCACAACCGTGAAAATATAGGTTTAATTCCGCATTTAATCCATCGAGCTGATGTCGCGAAACTCAAAAGTTCGCGGCCGGAATTTTACCCCCTGGTTTGTGACGTCACGTTTGCCCAGGGGGTAAAATTCCAGGGGGATAAAAATCTGCTACCCCACATCCCCCGCCCTTCCCTCCCTTCTGCCTCTGATCCTAGAGCAGAACATTACGTTGTATTGCACTCTTTTAGTTGTATACGTTATAAGTACACAGTATCGGTATCGTATTGGCATCGTTTTGATGATTCATGATTGTTGATGTTGATAAGTGAATGATTACGAGTAATTTAAGTTTAATTTATAATTAGCGCATTAAATAAGAAGAAAGTATAAACTGAATGAACGAGTAAAACATATTACGAGCCGATACTAAGAAAACAATGGCAGAAAAAAAGAAACCGTCTAGCACTTATAGAAAGCGTAAGCGAATTTGGAAGAGGAAGATAAAAAACAAGCCAAATCAATAAGTAGATTTTTGTTTAAATCATCTGGTGGCGAGTCCAGTCAGCCCAAAGAAGTCACGATAGAAGACGGCAATGACGTAGGTATTAATTTATTTATTTTCCAAATTAAAACAAGCAGCTGATCACAAACGGCAAACATTATGCCATTGCCGTCTTCTATCATGACGTCATGCTTGACGAGCATTACGGTCTGTTTTTTAGCGTGGCCTTGGTTTTGCTAAAGTTTATATGATGAGTAAAAGTGTAAAAATGTTAAATTTCTGCTAATAATAAACAGTCTTTTATTGCAAGTATTCTTCTAACCTAAACTTATAAAAAAGTGCTTCCCAAAATCATTGGGAAAAAATTCACAAATACGGTTAAGTTGTTCATGGAATTCTAAGTGGCGCTGATTCGGGTGTTCGCTTAACTCTGAAAAATTCCTAGAACCGGCCCTGTCTCCAATTGCTTTCTTCGTTGGTTCTTAAACTGTAAAAAACAAAAACAAAAAAATGAAGGTACAGATACTAAAAATACACAAGCCTTTTGTAATAGGTCTAAAGTTTGTTGACAATCTGCTGTATCAAACATCTTCAAAGCAGATAATCAGGCCTAGTCTATTTAAATCCTTACAGACCTAAGCTCATGTTGATGAAGCACAGGTATTTTAGAGCTATAAGGGCAGATTAATGATTTCAGAATTTAGAAAGCAGTTTGACTCAGTCGGAAAACCATTCAACTCAAGTCATAAAAGACTCCATGTCATGAGGATTGTGACAACCACCACAAACTAGTTGGACACAGATACAAATCAGAAGGGCTACACACTAATCCACGATGCAGACAACAAACAAGACAAGTATAAGTACTAGGAAAGTTTGTAGAGAATCAAAAGAGAGCGACAGGATAGAAACAGCAGTGTAGTCACCAGATTATTGAATTGTCTTGCCTTCTGTGGGTTCCATAGCTGCCGCTGAGATGGCCTGTACCATCACAACCTTCTGTTGGACAATGAACGAGCTCCTTAACACCCCTGCGACCACTACCCGCACTGTGCAAGAAACCATTACTACTGGTGGGTACGGTACTACTAAAAAGCCTAGCCTGTTTAGTGTGAATAATTAAGTACTTTAAATACAGTATATCTTGGTCTATACCGTTTTGGAACAGAGGTATCTAAATAAAATATTTAGAAGGATTAGGCCTATGCTTGCTAACAGGTTTATGCTGTGACGTAGCCTAATTTGCGTGTACTAACATGACTATAGATGGGAACCAACAATCTTGACATTAGATGGGAACCAACAATCTATCCAGCAATAATCTGTATAAATAACAAACGGTCTTTAAGTTTACTGTCGTATTTAGATTGAACTAAAATAAAAGTAAGTTTTAATTATGTTAAAACTAGAGACGTCGCTAGTTTGATTCCTATCGAATCGTTGCTGGACCTAGATGCCATCCAAGGCATACTAATTTATGCTATCCAACAGAAGATCGACGTTAGACAATACCTAACATGACCAGGGTTTGAACCCTTCTATTTTCAATTATCAATTATTTGAGACTGGGGACACCACCTAGGCAGGGGTGTCCAGAGGGGGAGGGGGGGTGCTGTGGCGCATTTGTGACACAGGAATTTTTGCGGGGGATTTTTTTTGCTAGTTGTCGTAATGAATGTCTAATTTTGTATAAGCAGCCCGAAAAGGTAATTCTAAGTAGCTCACTATCAACATTTTGCCATTCTTAAGATTGCTTCTAAGAATGGTAAAAACGCACCTTGTCAGACAATCCTTGATATATTTTATATTGGAGATATTGCAATTATAATGAAATGTATAATTAAATTTACAAGTTCAACAAGGCCAATATATAATTATTTTATTTTATTTACTAGCGCTTTCAGAAACAAGGTTTCCTAAACTGAATCAGGTTCAGGTTATGCGACGGACCCGGACCGACGTGGTCTCTGGATTATCGTCTGCGTTTTCAACAGCTGATATTGCACTATTTGGTACCCTAGTGACTGAGAAGAGTATTTAAAATATAATGGCATTCATAATTAATTGAGTGTTTTCATTCAAAATTTGTGTGCTGTCCCTAGTTTTATGTCCCTATTTATATATTTCAAACTCTTCCAAAGTATTTAATAAATTTCCTTTTGCGCAGTACTGTAGAATTTTGAGACCATAATTTATATCCAGTATATAATTTGGTTATTAGGCTATTGTCAATAATTTTGAATGGAAAACTCAATTATGAATCCCATTATATTTTCAATACTCTCCTCCGTCACTACAATTAGTCCAATGTCAGCTTTTGATAACACAGACGACAATCCAGAGACCACGTCTTTCCGTCATATAACCTGATTCAGTTTACTCCCAGTCCTGCCCGCGGCAATATACACGTGTGAATTGATAGGCCTATCTGTTATCGTTTCGTGTTTTGTGTTTAATATTAGTAACGTATTCTGACGACACCTCCAGAAGTGGATCCTTTTGTAAGCTTGACGATAGTGGAGTTCAAGAACCACCCGAACATATGTAGCAAGTCAAATTCGACATTACGGTACATATATTATTAAGGATTGTCTGACAAGATACGTTTCTACCATTATTATTAGTAATAAAAGGAAATCCTGGGGCTATCAAAATAAATTATAAGATTACTTCGTCACAAAAACCTTTTGTGCTGGTGGCAATTAAGGTATTGTGGGTATTTTGCCCGGCGATTTTTGTAGAAGGCAGCCAGCCTGGGAGTGGCGAGCAATAAGTCTGCCCTATTTCGTGACTCTGCCTATAATTTTGAAACAAGATACTATTTGCCAAGTATTATTAATGCACTTAAAGCTGTTTGAATTCTTAAGCCCTGTAAAAATTAACGCCAGTACACTTTGTTGGAGTAGAGTAATTCACCCACTATATTGTTGAACGTTTTGAAGAGCACGTTGTCTATTTCAATACTGAGCACATGTTGGCTAATAGAGATTCTGAATTGTAAATTGAAAAACTTCTAATTCGTCCATTAGTTAGATATAATTAGGCCTATGTATTGTTAAATGGCGTTTCCTATTAAACATTACATTTTGATTATCAGCAAGTTTGTTTTTCTTTACCTCAAGATTACTAAATACTTGAAGTGAAGAAATAGGTAGCCATTAACTTAAGTTAATTTGTTATAGAATCAAACCTAGGTGGCGTCCTCATCTC